TTTTCCTTCGGGTTGAAGTCTTGGAGTGCGGTATCTCCGAGCAAGTGTTGTTGAGGCTCGTGGGACTCGAGTTCTCAGGTTGTAACGGTTTGTTAAGCACCCGTAAGCTTAACGGAAGTAGTGTAGCTCGAGAGAGTCTCTCGGGAGACTGGATTAGCCACACGTTGTGGTGAACCAGTATAAATCTTGGTGTGCTCCCTTTACGCTTTCTACGCTCTTTACCTTTCACGTTCTTAATTTTTTATTCCTGCGATTTCTACGATCAAACGCTATTCACCCCCCCTCTAGCGTTGGTCACTTATTCTAACATATGGCAATAAACAACCATCTCCTTAATTAATTGTGTTAAAGACACACCTCCTGAGGAACCTGTTCTGGAGGAGATAGAGCCCACTACTTACCCCCAAGTTCAAGAGTCTAAGGAGGAATCTGTAGATGAGGAAATACTATGCATGGACAAACCATTTTCGTCTATAGAAACCTGCACAAATAATGATTCATCAGAAGATTCAGACCAAACTTTCTTTGATTCCTTACTTGACGGGTATGACTATGTCTGCCCGAAGGATGGTTGGAACTTAAAAAGATGGGATGAACTTCTAATGAGTGACGACGAGGACTCTTCCTTGGGGGAAGACACGGTCATAATCATTAAACCACAATTGGATGGTCAGCCCATTGAAGACAACGAAGAAATCAATCTTGCTATGAAGGCCAATGATGTGTATCAACTGAGGACACTTCCGCCCCCACCCACCTATACAAGGTCTCCTCCTTTCCTATTGTCACCAAGCCGCAGGGATGAGTCAAGGATCCTGGACCTTGACCAAACAAAACATCAAACAGGATGGCATCAGAAGAGAGTCAGAAGGGCTAAACTTTATGACTCTCGGATCGGGAAGTCACAGAAAAAGTGGGTGAGCGTCAAGCTACGGACGTTAAAGAAGTGATACTGGATTCGGCCCAGCTGGAGGATCCTATCTTTTGTACTTTTGACATCCTTCTTTGGGAGGCCGTCGAACACTGATAGGGTCTACGAGGAGGATATGTTTGTCTTCTGGAGCTTGCACAACCGCCAGCCGGCGAACGTTGCCGTGTACCTGGCCAAATTCTTATACTCCCAGTCATACGGGTGTAGGACGCACTTTGTAATACCCCATATCAAGATGGGAATGGGAAGGGCTCAAAAGGATTGATAGTACTACCCATACCAACAAGGTGCATCTTCTTTCCGAGAGCTCATCACCTAGAAACTCCAAAGTTAAGCGTGCTTGACTTGGAGCAATTCTAGGATGGGTGACCCCTGGGAAGTTTTCCTTGGGCGCGCACGAGTGAGGACAAAGTGTGCGGGAAAGACTTGTGATGGTTTGTGGGGCCAGTCTACAAGCCTATGAGCGAACACTTACGGCCAGGGTGGGGGCCGGGGTGTTACAAATGGTATCAGAGCAACCCTGCGACCGTGACGGGCCAAAAGAGCTTAGTTCACCTAGCGGGGAAGATCTATGGGTTCAAAAAGAGGATGCAACGAGGACGTTGCATTCCTAAGTGGGGGTGAATGTAATACCCCATATCAAGATGGGAATGGGAAGGGCTCAAAAGGATTGATAGTACTACTCATACCAACAAGGTGCATCTTCTTTTCGAGAGCTCATCACCTAGAAACTCCAAAGTTAAGCGTGCTTGACTTGGAGCAATTCTAGGATGGGTGACCCCTTGGGAAGTTTTCCTTGGGCGCGCACGAGTGAGGACAAAGTGTGCGGGAAAGACTTGTGTTGGTTTGTGGGGCCAGTCTACAATCCTATGAGCGAACACTTACGGCCAGGGTGGGGGCCGGGGTGTTACACACTTGGTGTGTGGGTTTGTGATTACTTTGCTCTTTCGCTCCCTCGTTGGGAATGCACCCATCCCACGGCCTGTGCAGTTGATGAGGGATTTTGATGCCGGCATGCTCCGGAATGCTCACATCCACCAGAGACTCTTTCCTAGCTCTTCTGAGAGCACTACGGCTTCTACCGGCCGCACTTTGCATGAGATGGGAGAGTCTTCCAGTCAGTCACAAAGATCTTCTCAGCGCCTTCCTCGTCGACGACCTACCAGAGCATAGTTGGCTCGCGCTCAGATGGAGGTAGCACCGGCATGGGCCCAGCAGCTCTTGGAGAACCAGAACACACTTATGCAGTCCGTCACGGCGCTCCAGCAGCAGGTGAATGGACTAGACAGGATGCGTGAGGCGTTGGGTTTTGAAAATCCGACAAACCTCCCGCCGCATCAGCAGCGACCCCGAGACGACGATCCTTCCACCTCTCAGCCTCCGCATTGATCTCCTATTCTTTCAGAACTTTTTATCTTATTTGAGCTGGAATTGATGACTTGACTGGTTTGTTTGGATTTCTATTTGACTTCTTCTGGTAAACTTTTATGGTCATGCTTATTTACTATTTCAATCATCATTTTGAATATTTTACTTATGCAATCATCTTAGTCATCATATCTCCGATATTTCGACCAAAGAATCTACTCTGGAACACTTTTTTGCCGCGAGGGTGCGGTTCCGTTCAAGTGTGAGGAGGATGTGAATTATTGGTTGAAATATTCCGGGTTAGAATTGTTTGCTTTGCATATTTGTGGGTAAAATTTTATAAGTATGGTCATCAACTCTTTTGTCTAAATAATTAAGTTTTTAGTTATCACCCATAAAAATTGGGAATTTTTAAATTTTTGTCAACTTTTATTCTTTTTCCCTAATTTTTTTTCAAACGATTTCTAAAATCATTTGGGATACATTAGTATTTTCTAAGTTTTTTTTAAGATCAATCAATTTTTAAATAGCTTCTTTAAAAATGTCATTTCTCATAAAGGTTTTTCTAAATATAAGGGTCTATATAAAAAATTCTAATGGTTTAAATTTTATTGGGATTGCGCTTAAGTGACGAATTGGAAATTCTATCTCCGTTAAGGGGCTCGGCTTCTCCCGCTAATCGCATAAGGCGAGGGAGCAAGTATGCATTTGTCATAGAATAAATCCACAATCTTAATAATAAAATATGCCTTGCTGATTCCGAGATTTCTCTCGTGATAAATAATCCTTAATAAAATAAATAGGCCCTTATTGTTTGATAAAAACCTTTTTGAAAATCCATTTTTATTAGAGCTTTTAAATGCTTTTTGATTTTAGAATAATCCTTAGAAATATGATTGTCCCAATGAAAAATTAGAATTTAGTTTTGATTTAATTGGGTAAAAATATTAGTTTGACAAAATACTCTTAAATTTCTAACAATATGGGTGAGAATCTATAAATTTACTTGTTCACGCACAAACGTTGATGACCATCTTATCTTTCCTTTCCTTCAAGTGGTGTAACTTAAACTTTTCCTTTGTGATTACTAATTTGTTTTCATACTTAATTTATTCAATTTGTTGCTTGAGAGCAAACAACGTTTAAGTGTGAGGAATTTGATAAGTTCATTTTATTTATTCTACATATTTTAAGCGTTATTGCACGGAAATAGTAATAAATTTACCCATTAAAAGTGTCTATTAGTGACAAAACTTATGTTTTGTCTCAAGAAGAATAAAATACGGGTTCCAAATTAAATTAAGTGGGCTTGTCAATTTTATGTTCAAATTGGATGAAAATTTTCAGATTTTAAAGATCATAATACTTCAGAGGTAGAAATCAGTGTTCGGGAGTCAAACGGACCAAAACGGAGCAAAAATGGGCCAAGATCTCGAATATTCGTGAATTGGGCACAAGATTCGGATCTTGGACGTCCAAAGTTGGACGCCCGGGGTAGTTGGACGCCCAAGAAACCACAGCTGACACGGGAATGACACGCGGCAACCAGCGACTGGACGGAACATGTGGTCAGGGGACGGGCGTCCAAAGTTGGACGCCCAGGGGGTTGGACGCCCGTACTTTCTGCCTTATAAATACCACGCGATCCTCACTCATTCCACACCATTCTCAACCCAATTTTGGGTTCCACTCTCTCAATTGCTTAAAATACTTTATATATTAGTTTTAGTAGTAGTTTTAGAGTATATCCGAAGGATTTGACTCTCGATCTGTTCTGTTCCGCTTGTACGGAAGCCGTAAGTTTTCTTATTTAATAAAATGTCGTTTTAATTTATGTTTGCATAGAATGAGTTAGGGTCCGGATCTTTGGGTCCGGACTAGTTTGGTTGTATATTTTGAATGTTAAATTAATGTTGGAATGTTTAATCTATTGTTCTTGCCTTATTTAGTTAATTAATCTCGAAAGATTTAATTAGCTAACTATTGAGAAAATGTTGTATGCCAAAAGGCTATGATATCCAAGAGCAACGGATTAAGTACAAATCTAGAAATGGATGAGTAGTAATAGAAATATTATTATTCCAATTGTTAATTTAATATGATAAAATATATCCAGATGATGTTCTCACCCTAGGTCCAGATCTACACTTATACTATGTAGACTTTTATTTTTACTTTGCTCCCTTTTTATTCGTTCCGAGAAGACTTTCATAAATCAGTCCTAACCTTCGCCTAGTTAGAGAAATTAAACTAATTTCCTTCGTCCACTCCTCGAGAGATACGACACTTGGAGAGAAAACTAACCCTTTACTGGGAAGGTTTACTACCCGAAAAACTACGATTGTCAAGAAGAAGAAGAAGAAGAAGAAGAAGAAAAAGAAAAAGAAGAAGAAAGAAGAAAGAAGAAGAAGATCAAAATGGGGAAGAAGAAGAAGTTAACGGAAAAATGGAGATTAAAAGAGAAAGTGACGGAATGTCACCCCGGAGTAACTTTTTTGTTATTTTAAGGTACCCCAGAGTATATTTTAAAAAATAATGGGACCTGGCAGTTCTTGTTACAAAATCTAGGGTACCCCGCAGTCATTTTTTCTATGGAAAAACATAGCGCTCCCACTAACCTTTTATTGTCACAAGTTTTCATCCCTTAAAGACAAACTCATAAGTAATTATGATTTTCTTAGGGAGATGAAATAGCTCCAAGAAAGTTTAATTAAGATCTCACCGGGTAACATTTAAATCTTATAGCTCGTTGCCATTTCTTGGACTTGATGCTCATAAGATTGGTCAATGACGCATCTCATGCTATAAGCCAAAAGCCGAATCGTATTTCGATAGACCAAATCTATACTTGTGTTATTTGAGCAATCTCGAGACACAACATATTGTATCTCTTGCTCATGTTCCATTTTTAGAAGTTGGTAATTAGAAGTTGTATTAGTCTTTATCTATAATAAATAAAAGACTAAACTCCATAAAAGTTCCCCAGTTATAGGTCGTTTTACATATTTAGTCCCTACATATCAAATATTACTAAATTTAGTCCCCAATTATTATATCATTTTTCACGAATGGTCCTTTGTTAACATTTTTGTTAAGAACATGGATAAAATGGTATATTCATATGTACTTCTTTCTCTCCTCAATTAAGCTTCCTCCCTCCTATCGTACTCTTTTCCAAACTCGTCGCTGAGTTTGAAGCTCTAAACCCAAAATTGAAATCATCATTTCTCTCCCAATCATTAGTCTTTTTGGTGGAACCTAAAATCAAAACCAATAATCTTTATGGATGAGTTTTATCGGTTAATCTCAAGAAATTGCAAAGAAAATAAATATTAAAACTCATCCATGAAGGTTATTGGTTTCGAATTTGGATTCCACCAGTTAGACAAACAATTGAGAGAAGAGTCATGATTTCAATTTTGGGTTCAAAGCTTCAAACTTAGCGACGAGTTTGGGAAAGGAGTGCGAGGGGAGGGAGGAAACTTAATTGAGGAGAGAAAGGAGTGTGAATTTACAATTTTATCCACGTTCTTAACGAAAATGTTAACAAAGGACCATTCGTGGAAATGAATATAATAATTGGGGACTAAATTAGTAATATTTGATATGTAGGAACTAAATATGTAAAATGATGTATAACTGGAAACCTTTTATGGAATTTACTCTAAATAAAATAAACTCATGATTATGACACATTAATAGATAAATCCCATGAAGTATTTGCAACTCCTTCAATTTTCTCTCCTCACGCTTGCCGATCTGTCACTGGATGTTTAACATTTTTGCAGGTGTTTCATAAAATGTTGCAGCGCACATGAAAAAACAGCAATAATTATAGGTTTTGTTTTGTTGAAAGTTGTAGGAGTTAACAAGTTTACCATGTCTTACGTTCTGGCCTAGATCGTGAGCAGAAAAACATGGAACCGCTTTTAATAGTAGCTAACACGAAACTAATAAACATAAGGACCAGATTGAAAAAAAAAAAGAATAATTCGACTCATTATATGAACTAAATTTCACCAAATCTGAATAGTGCACATTTTTCTTTAGTGTAGGAAACTTCATGCTATACTCTTTACTTTATTACTCGTACAGTTCCATTCATTCAGAATTATTGTAGGTTGTGTTCGGATATATTGTACAAACAAATAAACTTCCAGACCAAATTAAAACATTGCATTAATGGTTCTTGTAGTATTAATTTTCCTCTTCAATGTTATCAAACAGCACTTGCACATTTCCTCGGGATAAAGCACACAAAAGCGAGACTGATCTCACAACCGGGATCTCCCTGTTTCCATTTCTAAATTCTGCAACGCAAAATAACGGCCGACCATATTACATAGCCCGTCAAAAGAATGAGACTTATTAGTTGTCCACTTCCTTGTTTTCATTTTTCCAGAATTAGTTGTCCACTAAATCCCGACGGATGTAGTATTAATTTATTAAGACAAATAAAACCAAAAGACTACAAACTTACAAGAGGGGCAGCCTTGGCAGCTCTTTCAGCCAAGTAAGAACATGGCTCAAATAAACCTCCATAGATCTTTGACCAATCATTCAGCTTCGAGTAAATGTACTTTGATCCAAGGGTGTCTGCCCAAAACAGGATGCCTCCTCTAGTTGATGATACAAAATGTTGAGAGAGATCATTAATCAAATTATATGCTTAATGATCTATTAATTAAGCAACAGGATGAATTTGAGAACACGGACCTGTAAGGTGGGAAACCCATGCCCATGACAGAAGCTATGTCTAAATCAGCCGCTTTGATTGCAATGCCTTCAGCAAGTACTCTACAGGCTTCGTTTACAACCGGCAAAAACGTCATCTCCACAATGTCCTTATCCGAGAGTTTTGTCAACTGAAATCAAGTTCACCTCGTATTTAGTTGACCGTAAATGTAACAAATTAATACCTATTACGGTTAGGTGAGGTTAAGCTGAGAGAGAGAGAGACCTTAGGGTCAATGGTAACGCCAGACATCTCCCTTGACTCGTCAATGTATTTCTTTATTTCAGGATCTGGGCTGGCTTTGCGCCTTTCATCATAAATATAAAAACCTCTTCCATTAGATTCACCTGAAACATTTCCAAGACCCATAGAATCATCTGCTAGCTTGAGAAAGTAAAATATATATGAATTAGGAAGCATCAATGGTACCTCCCCTTTTGTCTTCTTGCATGAGTGGTATCAACATCGATTTATAAGTTCTTTCTGGAAAGCTCATCATGTATTGACCTCTAGTTGCAATTACAACGCCAAAGCCAACAAGGTCGCACAATCTGCATACATACAACAAAAGAATTGAGCCCATACATATAAAGTGAAATAAAAACAGCTTCCTCCACGTAGGCAGGATACTGAATTTTCATTCATGGAGCAAGACAAAGTATGACCTAAAAGGGCCCATGGGCATTCCAAATTTGGTAATTGCTTTATCTATTTTGTAGACATCTGTACCCCGTTCCACGAGCAAGAGTGCAGCTTCAGTGTAAGGAAAGAACATCCTGTTGACAGCAAAACCAGTGCAATTACCCACAACCACAGGGGTTTTCTTTATATTTTTCCCAACATCTAGTAGGTCGACAATAGCTTGACAAGACGTTTTTTGAGTGCGAACAACTTCCAAAAGTGGCATCACATGAGCTGGGCTGCATTTAAAACAGAGAAACTATTGAACCAGCCCAAAAACATAGATAGAAAACTTGCGTCTCCAGTAGATATTACCTGAAAAAGTGGGCACCAATGATACGGTCATGTGATCTGGTTTTCTCTCCAATTAAGTTCAAGTCAATGGTGGATGTATTGCTCGCAAGTATGCAATGCGGAGGACAATACTTCTCAAGATCAGCAAATATGTTCTGCTTTAGATTTACGTCCTCGATAACAGCCTGTTCAAAAGCAAATTGCAATGAGATACAAAAAAACAATATCATACAAACTAAACTGAGAATCTACACGCTACCTCAATGACCAAATCCACATCTCTAAAGCTTTCGTAGTCTAGGACACCTTTTAGTAGGGAGAAAGTTTTTTCAAACTTCTCTTGACTCATTTTCCCCTTCTTCACTCGACTTTGCAAATTGGCTGTTACACGACATGCATTACATCATATAGAAAGAATTAAATCATAAAGTCAAACCTAGACCATATCCTTACCTCTTACTCTACCAATTCCAGCTTGCAGAAATTTCTCATTAACTTCCTTCAAAATTACAGGATAGTTACAGAGAAGAAAAGCTGTTGCGATACCAGAGCCCATTAGACCCCCTCCCAGAATTCCAACCTTCTTCATTTTTCTTGGTGCCAACCCTTGGTCAGTTGCACCAGGAACCTGTATACAAAGATATTTCGAAAGCTTAAACCAAAGCTGGCATCAATGTAGCTTTACTGGAAATGTATTGGAAGTATGGTCACAGCCTATTCAAAGTGATTCACAGTGTGGTTATTTACAAATATATGCATATGCAGGATATATTCTTTTAATAATAGTCTAATACTATTACTTATCTTACCTTTTTGGTTCCACGTAGGGCAAAAAAAATGTGTACCAAGGCCTTGCACGTGTCCGAATATAGAAGCTCTTGAAATGCTTCTGCCTCCTGTAAATATCAAGTGCATGCTAGATCATTAGACACTCTGAGTTCTTGACCAAAGCCAAAAAAGAGCCAAGGGAAGAATTAAACCTTCCAAAGGCCAGCACGTGGACCAGACACTATACCCTCTTCAACAACATCAATGCAGACTAATGGATGGTTAAGATTTGGAGCTTGCTTACGGGCCTGAGCTCGAGCAAACTTTAGGATCTCCTTGGCATCCGCAAGTGGTTCTATTCTGTCTGTCCTATAGAGACTTATAACCCAAGGTTTGCGCCGTTCAAAGATTTCAAGAACCCAATGACGTGCAGCATCCAATAGTTCATTGGGTGAGACAACAGCATCTACAAGACCCAAATTCAAGGCTTCCTGTCCTTTAACGGGCTTTGATGTCTAGGAGACACACAAGAGACACGTGTACATGAGAGAGCTGAATGTATAGATTAAACAAAAAACCGTATTCCAATCAATATTGTGAATACTATTTTTAAAATGGGAAATGTAACATGAGCTAGCACTTACAAGCATCATCTCTAAGCCCTTAGCAAGACCAACAAGGCGTGGAAGCCGCTGTGTGCCTAACAACACAAACTATTCAATTACTATGAATGACAATGTGACTTGTAATTATAAATATCAAACTATTTTTGCAATATATGTATGTGTGTGTGTGTGTCTATATATATATATATATATATATATATATATATATATATATATATATATATATATATATATGACAATCAGTGTTATCAGTATTTCATAAGAGTTTTGCGGTAAAGGCACCATCTATGGCTTAGTTCAAACTGTGAACAATGAACCAATATTTACCATAGGAAAATTACTATTTTTGATCTTTACGAAATTAGGCATCTAATAACTTTATGGACCACGAACTGCTTGCAAATCCAAACATACCTCCAAACCCAGGAATTATACCAAGTGGGAGCTCCGGTAAGCCAAGTTGTGCATGTGGAGTAGAAATACGGGCATGGCAAACCTAAAAGGATGCAAAAAGGTTACCATATGGAAGTATACATAAATTCAGTAAATAAACTGTATGAAATTTTTACCATTGCAAGTTCGAGTCCTCCACCTAGAGCAAGACCATCAATGGCTGCTACTGTTGGTTTTCTTGAAGCTAGGCATGGGAATGGAAACGAGTGATTAAAGAAGCATATATGATATGTTGGGCTTTGTGGAGGCTTGTTTGTCGGCCCGGCCCAGTTGTGCGTAGCCCTAGCTTTTCCCTATATATAGAGGGCTTGTATTTTGTAATCTGAGACACCATAAGTGAAATAAGAAAATCCTCTTGTTGCAGCCGTGGATTAGGGAAACCGAACCACGTTAAATTCTTGTGTGTCGTTTGTGTTCCGTTTCTCTCGTTTCTCGCAAATATTTGTGTGTGTTGTGTGTTTTAATTCCCAACAAGTGGTATCAGAGACTTGGTTGTTCAACACGAGCACAAATTGTGAGAAAATTTGTCACATAGGGTTTTTGGATCTGGGTGTGCTACAGATCTGAGAAGAAGCCGCTGCCGCCGTCAGCCGCGCAGGAGCAGTTGCTGATCCGTCCAGGCGCCCCCGCGGAGGAATCGTCCCACAACCGGACGGCGCCGTCGCTGAAGGAGAAGTGATTCTGTCGAGCGAGACTGCCGCCGGGTTGAGAAGGTGCCGCCGCCCTCCGTCCAGCCGTCAACCGCCGTCTGCAAGCAGGTGTCGTCCGACCGCTCGCCGAGTACCCACCGTCGTCCTGCCAGAGAGCTGTCGCCGTCCGCAGATTTGTCGCCGTTTGGAGAAGGTGTAGCCGCTGACCCAAGCCGCCGCTGAGGAGTCGTCCAGATTGCCGCTGCGGTTACCCAGTATTTCCAGCCGCCGTTTCCTGCGAAGAAGAAGAGGCCACCGAGCAAAAAAAAAGGGTTTTTTTCTTTGGGCAGGTAAGGAGCTTTGGCAGAAAGGAAAAAAAAAAGGAAGAAAGGCAAGTGGGCTATTCTTTTCTTATTGGGCTTTTATCAGATTTGGGCCGTAAATTTCCTTGTTGGTGGTTATTGGACCTGTTTTTGTTTTGGCTAATTTAATTGGTGTGGTGGGCCTGATTTTCTGACGAAAAAATACCAAGCTCTGAAATTAGTTGTACCGGGTATCTCGTCTAGTCATTTGAGATGGTAGAAGATGGGAAGTTCCGAATTGAGAAGTTCGATGGTACAGATTTCAGTTGGTGGAAGATGCAAATTGAAGATTTGCTGGTTCAGAAAGATTTGGACGTGGTTTTGGGTGACAAGACAGAAAAAATGTCGGATGCAGATTGGGCAGGTTTGGATCGGAAAGCAATGTCTGTGATCCGTCTCTCGTTGACCAAGAATGTTGCGTTCAACATTCTGAAGGAGAAGACAGCGAAGGGAATTTTGGAAGCGCTGTCTAATATGTACAAGAAGCCATCTGCAGCTAACAAAGTTTTTCTGATCAGAGAGCTGGTGAACACAAAAATGAAAGAAGGCACTTCAGTTACCGAGCATATTAATAAGCTGAATTCGATCTTAGCCAGACTTTTGTCAGTGGTCATTAAGTTCGATGATGAAGTTCAAGCTTTACTACTGCTATCGTCTTTGCCTGATAGTTGGTCCGGAACGGTTACAGCGGTTACCGGTTCGGTGGGACCTGATGGATTCACCTTTGATCAGATTCGAGATCTCGTTCTTGGCGAGGATATCAGAAGAAAGAATTCAGGAGAGTCATCTGGTGAATTGCTTCATGTTGGTAGAGGCAGAAGAAATAGCAGAGGAAGTGGGAGCAGGAACAGACAAAGGAGTCAGTCGAAGACTCGTGACAGCTCAGGTGTAACGTGCTGGAAGTGCAAGGAGGTGGGGCATTTTAGGAATCAATGCCCAAATGATAATAAAGTGAACATTGCTAAAGGCTCCGCGAGTGATGAAGAGGTCCTTCTGACTTGTTGTGCGGAGAGCAGTGTGGATTCCTGGGTCATGGATTCTGGTGCTTCATTTCATGCTACCCACAGCGGTGAAACATTGCAGAATCTAGTTGTCGGGGACTTTGGAAAGGTACGACTAGCAGACGACAGTGCTCTTGATGTGACGGGCATGGGTGACATAGTGCTGAAGACCCCAGTCGGTTTCTGGACTTTGAAGGATGTCAGAGTTGTTCCAGCCTTGAAGAAAAGTTTGATTTCTGTCAGGCAGTTGGACGAACAGGGACATGAGGTGAAGTTTAGAGATGGGCAGTGGAAGGTCGTGAAGGGAAATCTTGTCATGGCCCGTGGAAGGAAGAGAGGTTCGCTGTATATGGTCGAGTTACCATCTGATGGAGTGACCGCCCCAGTTCAGAAGAGAAACAAAGTCCGGTTCACAGAGTCTCGTGGGCAGAATAAGGTTGTCTATGCAAGAGAGAAACCTAGAGCCACAGGTCAGAATCAGGATGAACGAGCGAGGAAAGGTTCAAGGAGGCCAGTCAGAGGTATATATGGCAGTGGGAGCTCAAGAGGCGCTTTAGCCAAGTTGCCTAGAAGACAGTGGGTCAGGAGAACCAGTATTCCAGCTGTTGGAACATCTCCAGAAAATTTCTTGCTGAGTACGGAGAGTGTTTGTTCTCAGGATGTTCCAGGATCCGGCAGTGTGCATCTGCAGTGGGAGCCGGTAGGGACCGAGGACGAGTCAGTGGCAGATTTAGCCATGACTGATGTGTTGGAGCTTGGGAGAGCTTCAACGGGCCTTTCAGTTGTCTGATGAGAGGGCCGCTGCAACATGAGAGCTGAGGAAGATTACTCGGTGTACAGGCAATCGTAGTGGATGGCAGTTGATGACTATCAAGCCTCGAAGTGGGAGAATGTTGGGCTTTGTGGAGGCTTATTTGTCGGCCCTGCCAGTTGTGTGTAGCCCTAGCTTTTCCCTATATATAGAGGGCTTGTATTTTGTAATCTGAGACACCACAAGTGAAATAAGAAAATCCTCTTGTTGCAGCCGTGGATTAGGGAAACCAAACCACGTTAAATTCTTGTGTGTCGTTTGTGTTCCGTTTCTCTCGTTTCTTGTTGGGAATTAAAACATACAACATGATAGTCAAAATATACAGTTTTTCTAAGCCTTGATACGCCACCGTGCCACATGATCTTGCTTTGATGTTGACAAATATATAAAAGAGATTATTAATATTTCAAGTGTGCACGAACAACCTCACTCAATGTGTTATGGTTCTCAAGAAAAGCGCATGGAGAACCACAAATACTAGTGCTTTTATGAATTGTTATTCCACGATGTTTTTAAAAAGCAGAAAAATAATCTTCCTATGGAATGGTTCATCTATTGACTTCTATAGTCTATCATTTGGCCGGTTTAATTATTTTATACTATCTGTTGCCAATTACTTTTGACTAAAATGACTTGTATTAAAACAGTCTGCCTCACGACAAGAACAGATAATTGTTCACTCTTCACATGAACATTTCAGTCTTTGGTCCAAAGCCTGGACCACTTGCTTGACCACCAATTTAATTTTGAACTGGGTTTTGACTACACTAGATGTGACCAAAAAGTAAAACACAGTAGTAATTGAAAAGTGGTTGTGTAGGTTGAAAAGTGATAAAAAAAGAAAGGATAAAGGGGTTGATTTAAATCCGGGGGTGGGGTATTAGTTTGATGTGATATAGAGTAAAAGGTGAAAAGAAAGTGTGAAGCTTCTAATGGGATAAACAAAAATGAAGTCTATAAACTCTCAAATGGGATGTAGGGAGTACATAGTAGTATCTCAATATTAGTAACAATTCCCATTAAATTTATGAAGAAATAAGAATTTTTTAGAGAACAACACCAAGAACCAAATTCACACATGGCACCATAAGTCATAGACAAAAAAAACAAAAATCCAAAAAAAAACAATATAAGTGGTAGATGAAAAATCAAGAACATGTCACAAACAAATAAATGATGTGTTGAAGAGCAAACAATAAAAAAGCCTCAAATGTCATCCTCTCCAGCAATTATTGAAAAGCTCATCTCCTTCGTCAAACACTTCATCTTCATTACAATCTTCTTCAAGAGCATATTCAAACTCATCAAACACCAACTCTTCTTCATCTTTAATTCTTCATTACCTATTACTCCAAGAGGAAGCCTGCAACTCGACTATTGTTGTGAATCTCTAGGAGTATTGTGATGGTGCATCAATAGTGTCTAGGAGTAGTGTATGGTATGGCCTTTAAATTCTTTAACCCTAACATATGAAAGTCAAATAAAAAAAGTTGAGGTTCACGAGGTTTGCCTCTACTGCCCATTAAGAGCATTGCACATGAGCAAGTATGCGCATGCATCTGCACCACAGAGCATGATACCCAACGTATTGTGCCTCATGCTCATCACGCTCCAGGCGCGTCTTTCACAACTATGATTTCATGTGTATGAGTTGTATTCATGCTTATTTCTTTCACTCGTTTTTATTGAGAGCTATACTTAAGCAAGATTATTTTTATCAATTCTCAAACACTTGCTGAGCTTGTGGCGTGGGTACACATAGCAATCTATAGTATCTTGTGTTAAATCTTCTCAGTGTTTAGTCATGCTATACCCACCATTTGTTCATAAACACTTGAGATATTCACTCTTTGTAAGGCGATGTAGTAACCTTTTATATCACTTTTGGATGAGGCCTCTTTGTTGTAAGGTATGTTGGTGAATTGGGATAAAACCAACGTCACAGTTTCTTGGTGAACAAAGCAAAAATAAATGTAAGTTTGCTAATGATCTCGCAAAAACGGACATCCTTAATGGCAAAGGTTGCGCTTGGAGAATAATGAAATCCTAAATGAGCCCTTGAGTAGTGGATTAAGAATTTCTATATCACTCTAAAATATGGAGTTGTAGGAAGGTAACTTTACACACTTAATTTCTCATTTTATCTGAGCATAGTTTTTTGATAAAGTCCGCTAAGCACAAAACTTTAATCCTTCCAGTGTGCAGAATGTCATGAAGTGTCAAGCTCAAATATAAGCTCATGGAATTACCTTCTACTGTGTCACTAAGAATCTCTACCGACGCAAAACCATGCTTTGGTGTTGCAACTGTGATTTAAACAAAACAAGTTAGAGAGAAAAATGATAACTTAGCTAAGATGTAAGAATTATAGCTATTCATACCCATTCCTCTTTGTAATCCACCAAGTGCACTGATATCAAAACCGCCAGAAAACTTTCCATTTGCGCCTATTGGATATTAAAAATAAATGTTCACACTTCACACACATTTACTGAATAGCAGAAAAATAAGGTCGTGAAACTTGCCTGTAACAACAATTGCTTTCACATCATCCTTACTCCAGGCATGTTCATAACTCTCCTTTAAGCTATTAAGTACTGGAAATACACACACACAAAAAAAGGGTAAAGGAAAAGGTGTGTGCTATAGACAATAAAGTTTGCAAACACAAAATATCGTAGTAGGTATCTCCTTTATTTAAAGACATCCATAACAAACACGTAACAGAAATTTGGGTTATGACACTATAAGAAAAATGGGATATAAGGACACTATTTAAGGACATTTTTTTTTTGAAGCAAAAAAAAATATCCTTAAATAGTGTCCTTATATCCCATTTTTCTTATAAGGACATTTAATTTACAAAGTGTCCATAAAGATTTTATATGACATGGTTAATTAATTTAGTCCGTAGATTTCGAGTGCACAACACAAGCCCATTTACTTTTTTCCTCAAAAAAAGAGAAAAAAAAGATAGTGAGAAGCAGAGGTCGCCGAGAGGGTGAGTCGACGCCGAGGCTAGGGGTCGGAACCATAGTTCCCAACCCTATTTTCGATAGAGAATCCACGGCGTACAACAGCGAGCATAGACAACGAGAGTGACGATGAATAGCGATAGTTTATGCAATTACCAGCTGCATCCTAACAACGATTTAGCGGTGAGTCGAGCGCCAAATTCCGGAAAATTCAGCGTCCATGACAATTTGCTGGTATAATCTTTACATCGAAGCTTATCTTTATTTGTTTATTCCTTGTTTAGGTTAGATATTATGTTTATTGTTTATTTTAGTGCTATTGCTTTTTGTTTAATGCTTGAACAGATCCAAAATTGGTTTTTGATGGTGTTGAAAGGTTGATCTGATTCTGTCAGCGACAAGAGAGGCAATTAGTTCTGGGAATATATGCAGGCCAGGTCTCCCTATCATTTTTGACATTCTTTATGATTATTTTCCTTCATCACTTTTAGAAAGATATAAAGATGCTTAAGATCCACTTGCAAGTTTGGCTATCTTGAATTTTCTCTTTATAGGTAAACATGGATTTGGAGTGCTTTAATCAGTGACCTTTCACATAATGTGCATTCATATTACCTAACAACATAGTTATGAGATACTCTTGCATCCATCACTTCTAAACTGAATTTTTTTCAGAATATGTCCTCATTTTTTATTATTCTGCAGAAGAGCACTGGCATATGAAACATGATGGCATCAGAGTTAGGCTGCGTTCCATTTGCTTGATCTGATTAGATTTTTTGAAGATCTACTCTGGTTAAATCTGGTCTGTTCTGATCTAGTCAAGTCGGGTCTGGTCTGCAGTTATAATTAAAGTTATTTCCGATCTCTGATCTGATCTGGTCTAATCTGATTTTAATAAGAATAAGTAATAAGAAAAAAAATAAGTTGAACGGAACGCTACCTAAATGTGCATCACACGAGTATCATGTGCTCATCGGTCTCAATAAAGGTTCACTTACTTTAAAATAAAGATCATCATTACATATTATAGTAGTTCAGTAGAAAGTAGGCATTAATTATTGGAATGCATGAGTTCAACCCTTTCTGTGCTGTTAAGTGTTGACTCACATTTTTGAAAATTAACAAACACAATTTATTCAAGTCAAGATTAAAGTGCTACATCGACAAACACGAAGACTTGAAGTGCCATTCCTTGATGTATTCAAGAAGGTGCACAAGATTTTATTGTGTCCGAGACGCGTTCGGAGTGCCTAACGGAGGACTCGGGGGGAGTAGAAGATTTCTGAAGACTTCTTATTTTATTGAGTCTAAGAACTTTTTGTAAGGATGAAAAAAATTTATCTTCTTTTAAAATTATTTTTATGAGAGTTAATATGAAAATCTTATATATATATTTTGAGTCAGTTGAAAAATCTTTTTACCTATTCAAAATACTTTTATTGAGTCAGTTACAAAAGGTGTGTCAAACATTTACCAAAATATTTATTTTGATATTAAAAAATACTTTTGGTAAGCAAAATATTTTATCCAGATATTTTTCGTGTACATCGTTTGACACACCAAATATTTTTGGGACTAGTTTTCTACACCAAAAAAATTCTTTCAGATATATTCAAATTTGAATTTGAATATATTTTAATGATTTGGGGAGCCTTCTCACTTCACTTCATTGCCCCAAACCAACCATAACCTCCAAAACTTGTTTTTAACTCGCACGCATGCCTTGGGATCTTCATGTTTGAGAATTATCCGTTAGTGGATCGACCCCCATGGTTGGATCGATCACACGATTTTTTAGTGTGCGTAGATTTTCTATGGAGGACCGATCCAGAGGCATGGATCGATCCCCCGAACTCAGCTCAACATTCTTGCATCACTTTGCAGTCTTTTTAGATCGATCCAATGGCCTGGATCGATCACTTGGCGTGTATTGATCCTCTAAGCTGAAAGCTGTCAAAATCATTTCATTTCGTTCCCCAGCGGATATATTCTTTGAACCCCTATTCAATCACCATTCCTTGGTGATTTTCAGTATGAAAAAACACTCCAAAACTTCCCTATCTTGATGTTATAATCCTCCATTCAATTCTTCCTCAAATTCATATATTTTGAGCAAAAACTATTTGTTTTCAAGAGAGTGTTCTTGTCATCCATAGTGCTTAATCATTTTCTCATTTCTACTCTTGTGAGAATCTTTGTTGAGAGGTTGAAGAAGTTTGTTCATCTTGTTGTACAAGACTTATATGACTTAAGTCTTGGTTGTGAAGTCTTGTAGAAGGCACATCTACGAGCGGTTGTATTGAGGCTTGTGGGATTCAAGTTCTCAGGTTTTAATGGTTTGTTAAGCACTCGTAAGCTTAACGGAAGTAGTGGTAGCTTCGAGAGAGTCTCTCGGGGAACTTGACGTAGCCACACGTTGTGGTGAACCAGCGTATATCAGTGTGTTCTTTGTCTTCTCTCTTTTATTTCCGCTACAATTTTGATTATCTTATTTAATCTTGCGAAAATCATTAATTGTTCTCAACAACTCTATTCACCCCCCCACTTTAGAGTTGGACGAATTGTCTAACAATTGGTGTCGGAGCAGGTATCTCTAACGCTCCTTGTGACGTTTGAGAAAACGATCAAATTTTTTTGAGAATGTTGAATGCAGGGATTAGAGAACGCAATCCACCGTAAGGCCGCCATTTTTCGATGGAACAAATTACTCTTATTGGAAGGAGCAAATGAGGGTTTTTGTTCAATGAAACGACTTCAAAATATGGCTTGCTATTAAGAATGGAGATAGCTTGCCGATGAAGGAGATAGGCAATATATTCATCCCGAAAAACGAGGATGAATATGATGAAGCCGACTTCAAGAAGGCTCAATTGAATGCCACCGCTATAAACTTCTTGTATTGTGCTGTCAACGCCAACGATTATCGAAAGATTTCTCGGTGCCAAACCACCAATCAAATGTGGAACAAACTTATGATCACATACAAAGATACGCCTCAAGTTCGTGAATCAAAAATTGATTTACTAACCCAAGAATATGAGTTATTTACTATGAAAGAGAACGAGCTTGTGGTGGACATGTTTGAAAGATTTTCAAACATTGTCAACGATCTCGATATGCTTGGAAAGACTTTCACCGACAAGGAGTTAGTGAGGAAAATATGGTGAAGTCTTACCAAGGAATGGGAGTCGAAGGTAAACTCCATCTACGAAGGCCGAGACTACAATGTCATCACATATGACGGTCTTCAAGGTAACCTTATCACTTATGGAACAAATCATCTCTCTCATACTCTTGATGTAAAGAAGAGAACGGGAATTTCTTTTAAAGCATCCTCTTCTCAAAGCGTAGAGATTATGGTTCGGATAGTGATAGCGATTATAGCGTTGATAGTAATTCATGTGATATTTTGATTGAATGTTTTAATGAGTTTCTGAAACATGAGCTCAAAAAGAACAAGAAGGAAAACATTCAAAAATATCATAAGTGCGGAAAGCTCGGTCACCGAAAGCATGAGTGGCCGAAGCTCAAGAAAAGAGGTATTCAAGATGAATTTGCTTATTTCTCGCGGAAGCATGATCAATCTTCCAAAGGCGACCCCTCGAATTTATGCATCGTCACTCTTGAAGAACAAAACGAGGTAAGTACTTCAAATCCTCCTTTTTCTTTTGAAGAATTACAAGATGCATTTTATGAGATACTAGACAAATTTAAGAAAACCTCAAAAATTGCTAAATCAACTCAAAATAAGCTCACATCTTTTGAAGAGGAAAATAAATTTTTGAAAAGTGAAAATGAAGACGTTAAAAATAAATTTAGGGCAATTGATGAGGCAAACTTAAATATGCCTAATTCTCGTTGCTCTACTTGTAGTTCCTCAAAAATTGAAGTAGAACAACTAAAAGTTAAGGTAGAAGAGTCTAGGAAAATTGTTAAAGATGTTAAAATAAATAGACCACCTGGAAGAAATAATTCTAGGAATTTTGAAAATGTTAGGAATAATTTTAGACAACCTAGAAATGACTCTAGAAAATTTAAAAATGATAGGATAAATTTTAGACAACCTAGAAATGATTCTAGGAATTTTATAAATGGTAGGAATGATTTTAGACAACCTAGAAATTAGTCTAGGAATTTTAATTTTAGGGAAAATGATTTTAGATCACCTAGATATTATTTGGCTCAACCTAGCATATGCACAACCCGAATGTAATATGTCACTATTGCAATCGGGTAGGTCACATATCACCCGTATGTTTTGCTAAACATAGGGATTTATGTTGTGATTATGATTATTATATTCCTAACAATCGACCCAAAAGTGGTTGGGTACCAAATTTTTATTTTTATATTTACCATAAAAGGTGTGCTTGAAGACTACAAATATGTAGTGGATGCTCCAAACACTTAACCAAAGAGATTGCATCAAAGGGGAGTGATTACATTTTTTTAATGAAATGTTATCTATGAGATTTATTTTTTTAAATTGTTATTTGGGGAATTTATATAGGTTGTTTTGCATATATAAGGGAAGATCTTTTTGTGCTATATGTGTTGATTCTTTTTGTATGCCTTATTCTTTTGGGGTAGATAGCATACATGGAAAGTATTTTTATTTG